TCGACTAGCGTCTGACTTCATCATTAAGCGCAGTCTGACGCCGCGTTCGATGGCGTCCGGATTAACAGTGCAGTTCTGAATGTCAGGCGGTTTTTGCAACTCAGTGCGTCGGCACTCCTCAATTAGCGAGGCGAACTCTTTAAAACCGGCAGCTAGCGCGTCGACATAGTACATGAAATTGAGGGCGCTCTTGTGACTTTCAAGCCTAGCGCGGAATTCCGCGAAGTATGCCATCACTTTGTTGCGCAGCCATTTGCGCATCAACTCGAAGTGAAACACGTTATAGTGCTGGTAGTCGAGGGGCAAAATTCGTGGCTCCGCTTCGCCGGTCGCGGAGATAGACTTGGTTGCGCTGCTCTCGCCGCTAGACGATGCTGCTTGACTTTCAAGCCCGTGCTGCTCAGTCTCGTCGAGCTGTTCTACCGAATGTCGTAATCCAAGTACGTTCGCTACGCACCTCTGGTCTGTTAAGTAGATATCCGCGAATTCTTGAACTTTGATTGCGGCGAGAGCAAACTGGTCTGGAATATCGGTGCGCGCGGCGTTCGCGGCCTCTTGTGCGAGCGGGCGAAAAACCGCGTCATTTCGACCGGCAAATTCCGCAGCATCCGTTGCGTGTTCGCCGAGCAACGCATCGATCTTGCGGTCCGCCGCGTTGCTTGCCTCTGAACCCGTGGCAGAGTCTACGCCCTGCAGAAAGCTTAAGTCGCACTTCTCAGCTGTCGCAGTCGGATTCGTGAGTTTTTTTTGCACCGCACTTCTTGCTGCGTCAGATGCACTGCCCGCCAAAATGCATCGCAGCTTCCGCGCGTAGTTCTCCGCATCGACGCCAGCGGTTTGTCGCGCATCCATCGCGTCTGCCAGCACTTTGTCTGTAATAAAAGACACGGCTGTCGCTCCAAAACGCTTGCTAACGTCAGTGTTCAGCATAGCTTCAATCTTCGTAATTTTCTGCACAACGTCGGTGACGTTCGGCGCGCTGCTCGCAGAGATCGGTGGCGGCAACGGTTCCCGTTTGGTGTCGCTCGGCTCGACAATGAGCTCCGAATGCGTCAGATAGCCGTACTTTGCGCGCACGGTTTCGATCAGCGTCGAAAGCTGCGCTGAAGTCGAGGTCTCGTTGAAAGTCGCCGCAATTCGTTCGGCAGCCGAACCAAAGTGCAGAGAATCGCTGACAGACGTGTTTCTCGAAAGCATTTCAGAGTCTCTATGCGCCGACGACACGTAAAACGGAAGCTGCGTACTTTCCTCCCGCTGTGCTTGCCGTCGGTGACTCCAGTCTACCGTGAAGGCAGTTTTGCTGCTTGTCTGCAGTACGACGCTTTCATTCGCGAACTGCTTTTCCTTGCGCTCCAGCAACTGAAGAAATTTTGGCGAAGCCGGAGTCCGACTACCGTGTTGGCAGCCACCGTCCTCCGCTGCTGCCGGTTTCAGCGCATCGTACACGTGCGCAGAAAACTTCATCACCTAATCAAGGCGATCTGTTCGCATCCGTTTTAGTCAGCTACACAACACATGGTGTTTGGGCCACTGCTGCGCCTGTTTGCCGCTGTGAATCATGCGAACTCATAACTAAAAACAAAAAGCTAATTTAATTTAGATCTACTGTGGGCTTTTACTCACAGAGATAGTCGCTGTGCTTTGCGCCACTTCAATTTGATCTTCGTTGTAAAGCAGCAACATGGTCATAAACACACGCGAAGTCTCTTCGGAAGATTGCACTGACTCACTGCAGAGCTTTGCGAAGTCAACGCTTTTCGCGCCGTTAGCCGAGTTTTCGTCTAAGCACTTCATGAAGTTGCTCTTATAAGCGTCTATGTCGAAAGCTGGCAATGTGCTGTTCTTGCGCAGCCACTTTTGCACTTCAACGCGCCACAGCATTAAGTTGACCGTGCGACTCGCGCTCTGCGCTTCCGCTAACGCCCCCGCGTCGAGGCGCTTTGCGTCCTGCGTCACATGCTCTGGTTCTCCTGCGGCGTCCAGTTGTTCCACTATCTTTGAGTCAGTGTCTGTTGCAAACTCGCTGTAAAGCGCATTCGCTTCGAGTTCGGCGCTCGTCGACAGCGTGCAGGATATTGCGTCGTCGATCGCCCCGTCAGCAGCCGTGGTGCGCTGTTTCTGCCCCCGCGGCCCATAGCTCGGCTTTGGCACAAAGTCATTGAGCCAAAAACTCTTAATTGTGGCTTTCATAGCAAGCAGCTTTAGTCGACTCAGCGACCCGGTGTACGCTGCAGACGGTTCCGCGCGCAGCTCAGCAAGCTGTAGCTGATCGCAAGCCTTGTGTAGCTCCAAAACAGTGGGCTCGGTTAACTGGTTAAGCAACGCGCCCGGTGCGCAACTCAGCAACCGGCTGAGTCGTTCACCCCTGAAGTAAGACAAAGGCAGCAGCAGACACCGAAAGCTGCGCAACGTTCTGCGCGCCCCTGACGAGTCGCGCTTCTGCGATGACGCACCAGACAGGTTCAGCGATCGCAACTTGCCTAAAGTTACGTGATACTGAGAAGTGGACCCTAGCGCTGCTTCTAGATCGCTGTAAGCGTCAGCGCTTTTCGTACAGCCGTGCACAACGCTTGGCTCGTTCAGAAAAACCTGCTCGATACTTCGCGCGTCGTACTCCGCAAAAACATCACTCACACTTGCGTCAGACGCTCGCAGCTGCTGTCGCACCGCGGAGCCAGGCGCAGGCAGAGGCACGCCGTTTTGCAGACAGCCTGAGCCCAGCGACTCTATGTTCGGGTAAACTGGGAATCCTGTAGCGCCCGAGTGCAGAAAACACGAGTTATAGGTTTGATCGTGCAATAGCTGAACAAAACTTGCGTCGCATGACTTGTCGTGGCTAAACGTCACGCCGATGTTGCATACTGACGTTCCCGGCTTCATGACATGCTTCTTCAGCACGATGTGGCCGACCGCGCCAACCAAGTCGTTGCGGAGCAACTCCAGAGCTCCGGGCGGCATGCGAGTGCCGGCCAAACAGCGGCTGTGTAGTACGGCCTCTTTGGCAAGGATGGACTTGTAGCTGGGTTCTCTGGAACAGTTGTTGACTAGCTGGCTGTGTAGCGCGAGAACCTCAGCCGTGTTTACGTGTGTATCGCCAGGGGCGCGGGGAGCGCTCTCCGCGCTAGTGTCGAGCTCGGCCTCTTTCTTGTCGGCCTTTTCTTTCGCAGAGCTGACGACCGGCTTGTTCAACAGATACAAGTCATCAATGACCTTCCGGATTGTCAGGTGTAAATAGTCCACTTTGTGCGCAAAAATCTTAGTGGCTTCGTTCACCACTGCGCCGAGCTTCGTGAAGCTCAGCCGTAGGTTGTCTCGGGCGACATAGGAGTCGAGATCTTCTGAGTGTGCCTCGCTTTCGTTCTGTTTCTCTAGAAGTTGCACATAGTTCGCCAACTCAGCGGAGAAGTCCACGCTCCACGAGCTCTTGGCGTCCTTTAGTGATTTAAAAAGACTAAGCAGTCGATTGCTTTCCTGTTCCAACAGCTGCGCAGCGAGCGCCGGCGAAGCTGCGCTCATGCGCTCTCAAGTCATCGGATTATGCGAAAATTCGACGATTAATTGGTAAATAGCCGCTGCTCTGTGTGGTCCCAAATGTCTTTTAAAGTTTGCGATCTGTCGGCACCCTACAACTCTTTTGCATTTCATGAAATTATCGTTGCTTACTGCTCTTGCGTATTTCGCGAACGCCTCCAACAAGCGTGACTTCGTAGCAGCGCCGGCCGACCTTTCCGCACATGCAGAGCTCGAAAACTATGCCGCAGCTACTGAATTACGCGCGCTCAATGAGCGCGATCTGCTAGAATGGTTTCGCGGGTCAGATCACGGGATCTACTCGAAGTCGATCGATTTGGCGAGCGATCAGGGTGAGTCGATCTTCAGCATGATGAATGGCGAGGACAAGTACACTCTCGTGCTGCCTACAAACGAGGCCTGGGATAGCACACCCGCGAACAAAGCGCTGTACCAAAAGCTGCAAAGCGTGGACGCTGACAAGAAGCTCGGTTTGCTGGCGACAGTTACAATCGTGCAGGCACAGAAGATTCACAAACCCGAAGACATTCAGCAGCCGGCATACAACATGCAAGGTCACGAAATCAACTACGCGGTACGCGGTGACACGATGGAGCTTTCGCTGAACGACGGCGATCTCGCGAGTGCTTCGATCGACGTCGACTTGCGCAAAAAGCTCGAGTTTGATGAAGCGATCATTTACGGTGCAGACAGCTTCAGCATGCCGGAAGAAATGATTTTTTAGCTGTATTTTCGAGTATAGTGCATGCATAGCCGGTAGCCTAGTAGCTTGGCAAAACCATGGGGTAAGCGCGCGCCGTCGCGAAGCAGGAACACTACGTCGCGCTTGTCGGTGGAAGAGTGCAAGAACATCATCGGAACCGCCAACCTGTCTGCGCAGACCGTCGCGCAGATTCTCGAAAAGTAGGTGCGGTCAAATGCTTCGGAGTTTCACCTCGTTCAACGTGAAAGAACCCGGCTACGTCACGGCGGCCGAGTTGCGCTCGATTCCCGCTCTTGCCGAAGTAAGTTCCGTTCATCGGGCCGCAGAACCCAGTGCTGGAGCACATCTTTGCCGTGCTCGACGTGAACGGCGACGGGCGGCTCTCGCTGCTGGAGTTCATTTTGCTCATCGCGAAACTCTCGAGTTCCGCAGACGAGTACCACAAAGTACGGTTCGTTTTCGACGTTTTTGACGTCGACCGCGACGGTTACCTGTCGCGCGAAGAGATTTTTTTGGTGATGAAGGTAATGGTTGGAAACAACTTGTCGGATGCTAATCTGATTGATCTAGTCAACCGCACGGTTTCGACAAACGACGCAGACGCGGACGAGAAGCTTTCCTACGTCGAGTTTAGCAACGCGGTGAAGGCACTGAATCTCAGCGAGCGTCTGGAAATTGACGTGTAGCGACCGAATTTATCTGTTTTTATTTAGTGCACAAAGCGCAGAGGAACGCAGCATGGTAGGTTGGACGTTCGCCATAGCAGAACGTGTTTTCATACAACGGTGGGTGTGTCTGCGCGATGGCGGGCGAAGAATGTATTGCGATCGCATCGGACAAACGACTCGGCGCAAACTTCTATACCACGGTTAACTTCAGCCGGCAGAAGTGTTTTGCAATCACGCCGAAGGTCTATTTCCTGTGCTGCGGGCTGCAGAGTCACGCAGAGTTGCTGTACCGGCAGTTGCGCCAAGAAGTGAATCTGCTGCAGATAACGGAGGAGCGCGAGATCGAGCCGGCGCAGGTGGCGAGCTTGCTTGGCAACATTCTGTACGCGAAGCGCTTCCAACCTTTCTACGTCTCGCCAATAGTTGCGGGACTGACTGCGTGTGGCAAGCCGTACTTGTGCGAATTCGACTTGATCGGCACGCCTGAGGTCGCGACAGAATTTTCGACTGCCGGTTCCGCAGATCTGCAGATCTCTGGCGCGTGCGAGCTGTTCTACCGCCCGGGGCTATCAGCGGAAGAGTTGTTCAGTGTGGCGGCGAACTGTTTGATTGCCGCGTCGGAGCGCGATTGCTGCTCTGGCTGGGGTGGCGTGGTGTACGTCGTCTCGCCCGACAAAGTGGTGGAGCGGCACATTGAAACACGTATGGACTAAGCGTCGATGAGAAAGCTGCGGAACAGCCGGAACCCAAGCAGCGCGAGCGCAGCGCCTGCGAGCTTCCGCACGAGCGCAGCGCGGCTAAGTCGCGCACAGCGGACCGCCGCTTTTACGAACTGCTGCACCAGGAACGTGTGTTTCGAGACCCGGCTGCAAAGCTCGAGGGAGTCATAGTCGCCGTGCTCGACGCGCGGGTCGCTTTCGAGCGAGGCAGCTTTGTAGATCAGTTGCAAAATGCCGTACTGGTGTGCGAAACTCTGGAACGGCAGATGCGCGTGGTGCAGCACCGCGGAAAGCGCCTCGTACTTCTGCTGCAGTGCCACCGCTTCGTCGTTGCCTGCGGGCGCGCGGAGAACGTGGTCGAGGAAGCGAGAGAGCAGTTCGAAGCTGCGCGGTTCTTCGGCGTGCAGCGCAAAGATCAGCGCTCGATACACGTACGGGTTTCGCGCAGCGCTCGCGAGCAGCCGCTTCGCAAAGAGCGTCTCAGCTTGCGAGACGCCGGGCCGTACTAGTCGTGCGACTACGCTGTCGCTGACTGCGCGCGGTTCGTCTAAAAAATAGAACGACGAGTAATCCGCATACTCTGAGCTTTCGTTGAGCGTGGCGTCCCACAGGTAGTTGCGGAGCAGTTTGGTGGTGACAACCCAGAAGTCGCTGCAAGTGAACGGTAGCGTGGAGCTGACGTCGAAATTTGCCGTCTCTTCGTGTAGGCGCTGAATCTCACCGTACGGGATGAGCATGAGATTGCTGAGCAGTAGATTGTGTTCGACTGACGCGCCGTGCTCGGCGTAAGCCGCATACATCGAGTTCCAGTTTGCGAGCCGCGCGGCCGCGAACTGCTGTGCTGCGAAGCGTTCGCGCGGCGAGAAGGCGGCTGCGTCCGCGAACTCCATGAGCGCGAGCGCAGCGTTCGCGTGAAGCCGCTTCGTCACGAGCTCTGGGAGCTGCTGTTCCGCCGCGTACTGCGCAAGCAGCGCGGCTGCCTGAAACTTCTCCGCGGGCGAGAACAGCTGGAAGCTCATTAAAATGTTTGAGAGTAGCACCACTGTGTTACGCGGGCCCTCGCGCCAGTTGTTCTCGAGCAGAAGGGAAAGCGCTTTCGAGACGGACTGCCCGAACGAGTCGTAGCCCGCATAGAGCCGCTCGCTCAGCGCGAGCGTGTTGCGGTTCATTTTCAACGTCGCGTCCACGACCTTGCGTTTTTTCTTAGCGACTGCTTCGCTGTCTTCAATGTGGCTGATCATCGCACTCGTCGGGTCCGAGAACGTGTCTAGCTCGCCGAGCGAGCTGCTCGGGAACGGCACAAAGCGGTCTAGCGCGACGACCTTTTGTAGCGCTGCGCTCAGGTGGTAGAAGCCGCTGTGGCAAGAGCCGCTGAAGCGACTGAGCGCGCGGACTAGCGCCAACGCGCTCGGCAGCACGCCAGAGAGTGCGCCCTCGTACTCAAACAGCAGCTTCGCATGCAGATGTCGTAGCGTGAGCTCAGGCTCGAATAGCGACGCGCTGTCGACGGAACGCACGTCGGTGAACGGAATGCGCGAACGCGTCTGCGTCGCGGCGAGCGCTGCGCCACAGAGCGCAACGCCATGACGCAGAGCGCGCACGCTCGAAGTCTGCAACGCCTGTGCGCGCTCAAGCCGCAGCGCGGCGCGGCGCGGCGGTCGCGAACATTAACATTGCTTTACATTAATCGTATTTTCGCGAAAATAGATTTGTTATGAGTGAGTGGTCGCCCTACCAGGACAACGGCGGCACCGCGCTCGCCGTCGCCGGCCGCGACTTTGTCGTGCTGTCTGCGGACACGCGCTGTTCGGCTGGCTACTCGATCCTGTCGCGTCGTGTGTCGCGCGTAACGCAGCTAACTGATCGCTGTTGCATCGCTAGTTGCGGACAACTTTGCGAGATTCAGCGACTGCACAAACGCCTCAAGTTAGAAGTGCGCTCCTACGCCTACAAACACGGCGTTTCGCCGTCGGTGCACGCGCTGCGACAGTTTCTCTCGGTTGAGCTTTACGAGCGACGCCTCTTTCCGTACTACACCTTCAACATTTTAGCGGGACTCGACGACGAAGGCGCGGCGGTTGTCTACGGCTACGACGCAATCGGAAACACCGAGCCGCTGAGCTACGCGGCGGTCGGCTGCGCCGCACCGCTAGTGCTTCCGGCGATGGACGTCGCGCTGCGGGGCGACGCAGAGCTCGACGCCACTGCCGTCGCTAAGCTGCAACTCGACTTGCTAACTGTCGCGGCCGAGCGCGAGATCAAAACGGGCGATTTCGTTGAAACCTTTCTGCTCACGGCCGCAGGCGTGGAAACGCGCATGGCCACGCTGAAGCAAGACTAGCGAACTGCGCAGCTGTCGATTATTGTGATTTAACAGTTTACGCAATATTTAATGAAATAGCTGCAAGCGAGCCATGCAGCGAGCTTCAGCAGGCGTCGGAAATGCTTGCAACGGCCGCGCAGAGGCTCGGTGGCCGCGAAATAAGGTGCAGAAGTCGCGGACCGCGCCGCGCGGCGTGCCCGCTGCGGGCAAGTCCGCGCACGCAGCGAAGAAGCCGCAGAAGTCCGCGGACGGCGACGCCCCGCCGGCGAAAACGAGCTCCAATGTGTTGTGCAACTTTTTCCTGAACGGCTCTTGTCAGTACGGCGCGCGCTGCAAGCACAAGCACTCGCTGAAGGCGATCGTGCCTAACTTTGCGGCGCACTCCGATTGCATCGTCGCCTGTCTACTCGCTGCGCACAAAGCCGCCGACGGCGCATTTCCGCTTTGGACCAGCGCAAAAGACATGTTGCTTAAGTGCTGGAAAGTCTCGCGCTCGGTGGACCCGTTCAGCGCGACCATTGGCTGCGAGAAGCGCCGCTGGAACCTAGTTCTCGAGAAGACCGTGCCCTGCGAGGCGCTTGTCACGGCGATGGCGACCTGCGCTGAGCTGCTCGTTTGCGGCTGCAACAACGGCGAGCTGCGCCTGTTCTCGAGCACCGGCGAGCTCCGCGCGGTGGTTTCTGCGCACGCTGGTGAGGTCAACGCGCTGGTCGTCGCGCAGGGCGCGCTGGTGTCGACGGACTTCCAAGGCAACGTGCGATGGTGGGCAGTTGAAGACCTCGGTGTCGGGCGCGTCTCCTGCTCTCTGCAGTCCGAGCTCAACCTGGGCGCCGGCTTGCTGAAGTTCAAGCCGCTCAGCGCCACAAGGTAAGTGCATCGGTTGAACGCGGCGCGCGCCGCTCGGCGCGCGCCTGCGTTCGCGCGCGAGGGCAACCAGCTTCAGTTTAGTCTGCGTCGGCGGCAAGGGCTTCGCAGGCGTTTACGACCTGCAGCAGAAAACGTGGGCCGTCCGTCTGGACCACATGATGCACGACGCCTTCTGTATGGATATTGTCTTTTACGACAACACCATCGGCTTCGTGCTTTCCTCACGCACCATCTTCTGGGTCGATAAGTTTGCGAGCAAGCTGCTCTCGACGCAAGCGGTCGAGGGCGCCGGCGTGATCGTTTGCGCGACCGCTTACTCCTCGCTGTACAACGAGTTCATCCTTCTGGGCGACGACGCAGGCGCTATCACGCTCCTTAACTCCAAGAAAAACTTTTCTTATGAGACGACGTGTTCCGACCGCGAGAACCAGGTGCGTTTTCTGGGAGCGACCAACGAGTTCTTCGTCGCCGCGGACAGCAAAGGCTTTGTCAGCGTGTACTGCTAGGCGTAGCGCCAGCCGCGCTCTATCGCTCACCGGCGCCGCGCGCCAACTAGAGTGTAAAAATTGCCGTTGCTTAGACCAGCAGACGGCAGGCAGTGCAAGCTGAGCCTTGCTTTGTGATTTTTCACCCGTCTTAAAAAACTAAACATACTTAATTACGAACTGAGTGATCAGTTTTGCAAGTACGCGTACTCGTCGTAGTACTGGGGGTAGTAAGCACAGTTCAGCTCATAGCCCGCGTTCCAAGAATTCTCGGGCTGCGAGAAGCCCGAGTTGTTAAACATCGTGTCCGAGTAGTTCTCCATAGAGCCGTCTACCGTGAACCGTGTGTCTGCCTCCCACGGCGCAGGCTTCTGCATGTACATGTCGCCGCTGCGGACGTTATACGGTGCGAGGTGTGCGTAGCGATCGTCCACCTGCGCGTTCTGCGAGACGGGCGAGTAGCGCTGCGCGTCGTAGTAGACTGCGTTCTGGCTGGCACCCGCGTCTGCCATCTGCTGCCACCCCCAGTTCTTCATGTAGTTCAGCTGTTCGGGCGACGTCGCGTACGCGTAGTACGGGTACGACATGTACATCATCGACTGCTGCGGCGCGTTCTTGCTGTTCTTGCGCGCCCGCCGGCCCAGAGAGTTCGATGTTTCGAAGGACTGCGAGCTGAGAGAGTTGCTCAGGTTGTTGCGTCGCGCGCTGCCGTTTCGACGCCGCACGACGCCGCCCTTGCGCTCAATTTCTTTCTGAATCTGTACCTTGAACTTGTAGGCTTCGAGCTTTGCAGCCGCCTCATTGGGGTAAAACTTGGGGTTGAAGTACTTAGTGTGCCTTTGGCCGTTTTCGTCTGTCCACTGTGCAGCCCAAATTCCTAAATGCGACAACGTCGTCGAGGGCCGACAGCCCCGGCGCGCGGAACTTACCTCTACAGTTCTTATATACGCCCTTTACGCCTGTGAAATCAAATTCGGACATAGGGAGGCTTTACAGGCGAGAGTGAAAGAATTGACAGCCTAGCCCTGCAAGTAAAAGTTGGTGCAGTCGTTGCACCTATACCGACCAAGCACCAGGTTACGCAATGTGGCGCGTCTGCGCCCCGTTTGCGCGCGCAGCGACTCGTAGTCGCTCAGCCGGCGGCTTGGCGTGCTAACATGTGTTTTTAAAATATTCTTCGCAGCTGGTCAACGCTGCCAACGGCATGTGCTGCAACACCTTTGCGTTGCAAAGCACCTTTTCGTCGTAGAAGCGCAAAAAGTTGTCTGCCCACGAGCGTGGATCAGACAGCAAGTAGAGGTCGTGCAGGAACTTGCACGTGTCGTGAAATTCGCCGCGCTTTCCTTCATGCATTCTCATGAGCACGCGAAAGAAAAAGCTCTCCGAAGAGAGTTTGCAGCACGTCTCGTAACAGCGAAAGTCTGCGATGCTCGAAGCGTTACGAAACTCTGCAGAACCAAACAGAAACGGCAGCAAAAAGTAGTCGTCTGGCGCAAAGTCGCCGCGGCTGCCCGCGGGCTCTAACTGGAAGCGCGCGATCACTAGCGTCGCCAACGTGTAGTAACGCCAGTAAACCGCCTCCACCAGAAAGCGTGCCGCCGCGCCTGCGCTCGCACCGCGCGCGACGCAGCAACTCCATTTCAGCCGTTGCGCCTCGTAGTACAGCAAAATCAAGAAGCACAGTTCGTTGCCTGTTCCGAAGTCAAGTCGCGATGTGTTTCCCAAACTTAATAAAAACAACTCGCCCGCGGCTGCGAAGTAGGCGCGCTCAGCTGCGCGTTTTCCGAGGCTGGCGCGCTCGGCGAACTGTTCAGCCACTGAGCGTGCGAAGTCGCGAAACTGCGGATTACCGTAACGACAGTCTTGAGACTTCACCGAGAAGTTTTCAAGCGACTTTTCGGTCACGACGAGCAGTTCAAAGCAAAAGCTCGCGTTCCAAGCTGTTTCGCGCGGACTCGCGGCCGCGTCATCTGTTCGTGCGACCAGTGCGCTCGCGCTGGACAACGCCTCCACCGCCGTCTGTAGAAATTCTCTAACTTTTGCGACGACCTCTGCAGTTCTGTCCGGTAACGCGTTTTGTTGATCCACTGCGACAGATCTCAAGTTGGCTGCGCTGCGAAGCAGCCTAAATGTTTGATTAATTTTAATGAGCGCAATTTTCGGTGCGGCTTTGATCTATGCACGATGCGACTCGAAGAAGCGCAACGGGAGCTCACTGATCTAGCTAAGGTTACAGCGCTTCCGCGCTACCGACGAGCTTATGAACTGCAGAAACGAATCGTGGAAGAAGCTGCTCAGATGCCTGCAAACCTGAAAGCGCAGGTCGTCGCTGAGTCTGAGCAACTACTCGCCGAAGTGGTGCAGCGGCTGCAGTGCAAATATCTGGCCGGCCTGTCTGCTCGCTCAAAAGAGCTGTCGGATCAGGAAAAAATGTTGCATTCGATCTCCGCCAAAATGCAGGACAACAGTCAACAGATGTCACTCGCTGTCGAACAGTACCGTGCAAGCTCGAGCTCGCTGAAAAATGTGAACAGCATGGCGCTTAACTACCGTGGCGCATACGACCAAGCGGCAAAACTGATGCATAAAGTATTGCTGATCAAAAAGAGTCACGATGAATTTCTCTCGCGTTGCATTCGCATCTTCTTGGCTACTGCAGTCTACCTGCTTCTAAAAAAGATGCTGCTGCTCCGACTCTCCAAAACGCTTTTTCGCATTATTGTTCTGCTATGTCGGTTTCTACTAAACCTGTTTGGGTCTTCGACCGGAGAAAGCACTCCTTGAGCAACTCGCCAGCCGCGAGCTTCTCACGTTGTTCCAAAAGCAAAGTTCGTGCGGTCAGTCCCTTGTAGTTCTCCTTTAAGATGCGTCTGTGTCTGCTTTCGTTTAGTTTCATCAGCAAGTTGTAGCCCCACGTGGCGTACAAAGCGTCGCCTACAGCCGAGGACTTGCGCACGTCAAAGCTGGCAACCGCGTCGTCGCCACACGTCAGCTCGAAGTGTCCGAGCGCATTCAGCCAACCGGCCTCGAATGCGTACGCCGAGCGCTTCGCATCACTCGACGCCTGTACAAACGCAGCCCAGAAGTGTTTCTCAGAGGCGAGCTGTTCGAAGCCGAACGCGGCCTCAATAGCTTTGATAGCTTCGTCAAACCGCGTGCGGTACACCTTACCGAGACAGGCCATAAACTCTTCGAACGTCGCCATTTTCTGTCTGCGTCCGTCTTCGCTCACGAAAACTGGCGTTGATTTCGTGGCAAAAAGCTCCTTGACACGGTTCAGTTTGTGCGCCTGCAAATTCGCCTGTACTAGCAGCTGCAGCTCGTTTTGCAAAATCCGCTCGTTCAGTGCGAACAACTCGACGCGCGGGCTCGCGGTCGACCACAGCAGCGGCAGCACGTTCGACAGGTAGACGGGAATGTGGAGTTTCTCGTACTGAGCGTACATCTGCAACGCAGTCTTCAGCGTTTCGTACACCAGTGCAAACGCCTCGCAGTCCTTAAGTCCCACGGCCGTCACAACCATCGCAGGCGCGGCGGTGGCGCAGCAGAGCGTGGAGCTGAGCGTGATGTTTTCAAAAATGCAGCTCAGTAGAAGCAGCAGGTGGAATGAGGCTTGCGTCAGCACTGGAGCGATTAGCAGCACCAGACAAGCGCCGAAGTGCAAGCGCTTCAGCGCGATCCGTAAAAAGCGCACCAACAACATCGTATTGTGAATTTCCGCGTCCATCACCTCGTACGAGGTGGGGTGTGGCGCGACGAAAAAAGCGCAGTGGGTCTTAGTAATGCCGCTGGCATTGATGAACTGCTCCACTTTCGCGGCATCGCGCAGCTGCGGAAACACGCTAGATTCATCGCCAGGTGCTGCGCTATAGGCAATCGAGAGCGCTTTCAAGCCAATGCGATTGAAGTGCTGCCCCACGCCATGCTGTGGCTCGAAAAGCAGACTACAAGTAAAACCCTTTGCGGCTCGAACCGCAGGCCCGAGGTGCTGCATGTTGTGGAGACAGAGCGCTGCGACCAAGTTTATGAACTCGAAATATTGTGCGTCAAAGGCTTTTTGCGCAAGATAGAAGTCCTGTGCAGTCACGATTGGAAGCTGCGCAGGCAACATGGAACGGTAAAGGATCACCGCTGCTAGCTTGTCCTTGTTGAGGTACAGCGAGTGCACATACTTTAGCGGTGAAAAGCGCGCAGCGAAGCTCGGGAAGCGCAGTGCAAACTTGCGGTTGCGCGTGCGCGCCTTCAGCAGCGCAATTGCTTTCGGCGTTTCATCGTCAGTCATCTCGAAAACCACGGATTTCTGGAAAATGAGCGACTGCCGGTAGTTCGATATCATCTCGAGTTGCTGGCTGCTGAAGGCTTTGACGCTGGAGAGCACATAGACCAGCTTGCCTTGTTGAGCGTGCACCTGCTCAAACAGAGCGGCGCGCACGGCCTCGCCAAGGTCATCGCAAGTTGGCCGACCGAGGTGGTCCGAAAGTGGCAGTTCGGCGATTCTTAAGTAGCTGCAGTTGACGGCCGGGTAGTGGTCGCGAGTTGACAGTCCGAGCTGTGCGCAAATCTCGAAGCACTCTTTTACACCCGCGCGGTATGCGGTGTCTGGCTCCAATTCCGCAACCTCCTTAATCTTATCAGCGCGAATAGTTAAGTGTTTGCCCAGTTCTCGCAACTTCGCGCCGGCTGTAGCGAGTTGCTCGCGCCGCAGTTGCTGCGCCAAGAACGCGTTCATGGCGGTGCAGTCGAATGTTTTCTCGCACAATTGCGCGCAGAGCGCGTCTAGAAACACAGGACGCTCGCGGAAACTCAGCGCAACGAGAAAGACTGTTCGTGAGTCGGCTGGCAGCGTGCGCGGCCGCGCAACGAGCACGCGCTCAAATGTCGGTTGCAGCAACACTTGTATTTGGTTCAAAAGCGGCAGCTGCTCTACTTCGAGGCCGAAGTACACGTCGCCGCCAGGCTCCATGTGAGAGAGCAGAAACATGAGTTCGTAGAAACTCGAAAGTGCAAAGTTTTCACGCGTTAAGGCGGTTTGTGCATGCGGCAGGCGAACGCTCAGCGAAAACGAGATAGCCTGCGTCTCCATGAGCGCAGAAAAGTACTTGAAGTTGCGGTAGCCGAATATGCATCCGGTGCCCGTCGGCCCCAGGTCCCACGAATCGAGAAGCGACTCGGGGAAGCCAGCGAAGGTCGGCACGCGCACCCCAGTTACTTCGTCGTATAGCTTCGGGGCGAACCAACGGACTTGCGGCTCGACGGCTGTGAAATGCTTGTGATTAAAGTAGTGCAGAGCATTCAAGAGCGTCACGCTCAGGTCCGCAACAAGGCAGACGTGGCGGACTGTGCTGTGCCTAAACGCCTTGAGCAGTTCAGTCAAGCAGAGCCACTGCGCGTCCACAATGTTCTGTTTCCGCACGATTTCTTGCGCTACCGTCTCCAGCAGCACTTCGTTTCTAGCGTACTGTGCTGCATAGCTGTTGGCGCCCAGAGCGCCTAGCATATCATCTATGCTGCGCAGCGCGGCGTCGGCACAGGCTGCAGCCTCCGCGACATCAGCGCCTGGTTCGGACGGAAAAGCGACTTCTAAGGCTCGGACTTCGCAGCTGCGGTGTTCCGTTGCTTCAGCCTCCGGACCTATCAAAAACATGCTAGTCAGCGGAGCCTGGTCATTGTGAATCTAGCTACGTAATAGTTATAATGTCTTGAAAAACTACTTTATTAACCGGAGCTAAAAGGAAGGCACCGTTTTTCACGATGTGTGGAAAAGTCGCGAGATCTATTTGACGGAGCAAATCGCCGGAGCCAAATTGGTGGAAAAGTCGCGTTTCACACACAAACTGTTTGTAGTTATCTATGCGCGTTTCGCTCCGCAGCAGCGCATACCAGTATGCGTCTGTGACGCGCAGTTTCGCGGTCCACAGGCTCTCGCCGATGTCGTCGAGATCGTCGGCGCCGAGCACACTGCTGTATGCAAAGCGAATGGCGAGCGTTTGGTCGCGCAGTTGTTCCTCTGGCAGCACAAACGCCTCGTTGCGCAGCACGAAGCGCGGCGCCTCTGGTAATTCCTGAAGCCGCGCGTACAGCGATTCTTCGCCGAATTGAGCGCGCAGCGCTGCGACCAACTGCGCGTAGGTCCTCGCTTGCGCTCCGCCCGCCCTGTCGCGCGAAAAACAGCCGTAGCACAACGAGAAGTTCAGCGCTTCGAGCTTTGAGGGCGCATTGCGTGCTGTGTGCGCGACTTGCGCCAGATGCGGCGGCAAGTCTGTTGCCAGCGAGCGGCACTCACAGAAGCTGTGCGTGTAGTCGGTGCAGTGAGAAGCCGCAACAGGCACGAGTGTGGCGCGCGCGATGAACAGCGCCGTGTTCACAGTGAGCCCGAAGTCGCCCGATCGGATCAGCAATCCGTCCGCGAGGCGCAACTCATGCGGGAGCGCCTCGCCCGGCTGCAGCGCGAGCAGCTGCGAAAGTGCTGCGCACTCCGCGTCTCCCGAGGCCTTTCGTGAGTGCACCGCCTCAAACGTCCAGCCGCGCAGCTGAAAAACGGTTCGCGCTCCCATTGCGCGAGCGGCTGCGGTTAAGGACGAGTGACGGTAGATTCGTACGGCGCGCCAAATCTAAATTAATAAAAGCGAAACGAGCCGCGTCGCGCGGCACGCTGGCGCCTACGTCAAGAGCACTGCATTTATGCAGCCGTCCATGTCAGGCTCGTTTGTCACCTGCGCGTACTTCGCCCACAGCACTTTGCCGGACTGTGTAACGAGACCGAGGTCTGAAACGTCGACCTCGATGATCGTGCCCTTCGTGATCGCGCCAAGGTTCGTGTACAGCACAGACTGCGGGTTCTTCTTTACCGAAACGATGTCGCACAAAAAAGTCGTTTTCAACTGTGGATGCGTCACGTTTGCTTTCTTCATGCGCAACCCCATCGGCCGAATGTATTTCTCGAGCTTCGGGATCTTGCGCGTGTAGTCGTCCCCCAGAAAGGTCACCTTGCGCAAGATGCGCTTCCACGCCTTTTTTTGGCGTTTTCCGGACGTGACAACGCCAAACATCTCTGCTTCGGTCAACGCCTTCACTTTCGGAATTGGCACGACCCATTTGCCGGCTTTCTCTTTGCGCTTTTGGCGGATCATGTTCGTGAGTACCTTCGAGCTGTTGACTTCGGCGCGGTCCATCAGATATGTGGGCAGCGCTTCTTCGTCATTGGCTGCGACCTCTTGCTTCTCGCGTACAGTGCTCAGGCGCAACTTCTTGCGCGCCTCGATCTTCTCGACAAAGCGCTTGCGGTTCAGCAGT